GAGTCTGCACTGTTTGCCAACTATACTATGGTGCTCTCTATGCAGGTGGTAGAAGATGTAGCTGACCTGCGCTTACCTTAGCCTGACACTCCCCTGGAGTAGAACTTTGTCCGTAGGTGAAAATGTTCTCTTGGAGCAGGTAGTATCATTGGATTGATTTTTCTTGCACTTTTGACGTCAAACCAGTGATCTATGAGAAGACCTTATGTAATTGAGTGGTTTCGGTATGGGTAACGTGACTGTGTCTGTCGAATACTCCATTTTACATAACAAAACATGATTTGTAGATTAAAGCTAGCTCTTCTAAATTTCATATCAGTTTAAAGCTGTTAAGCACGTGCTAATCACATAGGAAACAACCTAGAGCTATTAATGAGGATAATTCGGGGTTTTGTTGTTTTTGTTTGATCTTTTTTTGAGACAGGGTCTCCGTGTAGCTACAGCTGGCCTGGAATGCACTCTGTAGACCAGGCTGGTCTTAAACTCACAGAGATTTGCTGGCCACTGGCTCCCAAGTGCTGGGACTGAAGGCATGTACCACCACACCTGGCTTTTTTTTTTTTTTTAATATTTTAAGACATTGGTTTCTGTGAACTAGATTCATCAACTAATGAGAATTGTACTTGAAAAAGTAAGTCCTTTGAAACTTGGACCTGAATGCCTTCTTGGAGTTGAACTTGAAATTGAAGCTTAAGGGTTAGAGAATGAAAAATCTGGCTAATGGAAGAAGTCCAATTAATTTTAATTTTTTTCTTTTACAAATATCACTTCCTCATTAAAGTTATTTCTATTTTGAAATTTGGGGGAATTAGTTGACCAGCAAACTGTTTACCATGTTCATTGTTTTCCCATAAGAATCATAGTAGGAAAGACTTTCTTAACTTTACTGTCATTATTATTATTGCTGTAGAGTCATTCTGGGCCTTTGCTTTCCTAGTCATGGTATTTTGTGGGTTTGATGGCAGAATATGCTTGAATATATACTTTGATAGATTCAAAATACTGTATTTGAATTTTTTTCAGGTAAACTACTTATTTTGATGCCAGGGATTAAACCTTGAGCATGTACTTTACCACTGAGCCACACCCCCTTGTCCTAAAAGATTATTTCAAATGTGAGTCTTAAATTTCTTGAGTTAAAAAAAAGGGGCGGGGGGAACATATGTTAGATTTAAAGACAAAGCAGTATGTGTTGTTAGTCTAGGCATTTTTTTATTTTGTAAGATGAACAAACAGATGCCTTTTACTATTCAGAGTATGGCAACTTTCCAAGTTTTCTCTTTCCCCTTCCTTCCCATCTTCCCTTTCTCTCTCCTCTCATTCCTCCTCCCCTTTTTTTTTTGTCTTGAATTAAAAAAAAAAAAGTATGAGTATCATCTATTTTTGTGTACTTAGCACAATTGAATTTTCTTGAAACTTGGCAATAATCTAGATGACTTTGACACATGAATACTAAAGATTGTATTGCTTAATCATATTTAGTGATTACGCTTGTCCCTTTTAAATACATATTAAATACATACACTTTTGATTGCTGACTCATAGAGCCTGTCTCATGTTTCTGCTCTTGGGAAAAAAAATCTCCACTGGGTTTGTAGTAGAAATGGAGAAATCTATCTGCTTTACTATTTTGTTTTTTTAGTCTATCTTATCTCCCATTCTATAATAATTCTTCTCTAGTTAGTCTCATCATCCTTTTTCCATTCCTTGGGTGGGCATATTTTTGATTTATGTTTTCAGAATAGGAATACCTTGCCCAGTACCACTTGTGTGGCCTGGGAAAGGGTGCTGGGAGTGTTAGGGTTCTAAACAGCCTGAGCAGAAGGCAGATAGTTGTAATCTACTCTAGGACAACCTTTTACCCTAGAGAATTAGTCATTTGCAGTGGAGGAAAGTAAGCGTTAAACTTGCTGTAGATACAGAAAGCTGGTGAGAGCCCAGCACAAGAGGAGGGTTTTAAGAAATATTTGAA